CTACTACTACTACTACTACTACTACTACTACTACTACTACTACTACTACTTTAAATATCTAAGACACGTTTGTTCATAGACACCATTAATGTCTACAAATCAGCGCACCCAAATTCATTTTAAAGGTTTTCGTACGGTAAAAAAAATAGATTGCGTAAATGCATAACGTTGTGGTGCTGAAAAAAACAGTAGAGACAAATTTACAACGAAACGCAAGGAAAATAAAAAAGATAGCGTGAACTTACAGAGATCAGCAGCCGATCAGTTGCTGGATTACTGCTGTCTGAACCATCCTGCGAAGTCACCGGATGCACAACCTCCTGATCAAGTTTTAAGAACAGTTCATCCATACGCAAGTTAGCTCTAGAAAGCAAACATTGAAATTAGAGAAAGGCATCGGCAAAAGGAAAGCGAAAGACGTTTCATCGTTGAAAGTCTAGGCAATAGAGTACAATTTTATGAGAGAAACAGCTATGCGAACTTGGCAGCGGTTTACAAGATTATTTCCCGACACTGGCAAAGCAATTGCCAAACCCAAAGTTGACGGTGCCAACCGTGCCTTGTCACCATGCAAAATTTATGAAATCTCAAATAGCCAGAGCTCCTCAGGATGGCATCAGAATATTAACCCCAGTGGTACCTGTGTCCCTTCGAATTTAGATATACTAAGTAAACGCTTTTGGAGGCTAGGCTAAAGTAATGCAGTCCACAGGATATATCACCGTTAGAGAAAGTACGCTAATGCATTTGCATATCAAATACGTAATCAAGTCAACGCACGTATGCAAAAATTTGGACGCCAGAGAGGACTGCTCGTGGTTTAGCTTCTGGAGAATCTCGATAGAAGATGTCAAACTGGCGGCATCCGGCTAAAAAATGAGATGTCATAAGGGTGCAGAAGGGGTCAGTACCGCTGCTGAAAGATAAATTTCTATGTTGGCGGAGACGTTGTTAATTAAGTCCAGGCAATCGCGTTGGAGGCCCTGGAAAGAGGGAACATCACAGAACTTCTCGAAAACGGGCCTGGCTTTGCAGTAGGCGTTCACCGCCTCGGCCCATTGCTCCTTCTTTATGTGTTCTCGAAGTTTGGTCGGCAGAGAAGATAGATAATTCAACTACAAAAGGCGCATTCAGAAGGAACAGGAACAACAGACCTTTTGCAGATTTTGCTTAGTGTTAGCGAGACGTTTGAGTTCCTCTCGATGCTTGTGAGTTTTCTCGTCAACACTAACCGATAGCTGACTAATTTCAACCATTGCTTGAGCCAAGGAGTTCATCTCATCTTCAATAAACTTAAAATCTGTTTTCATCTAGGAGAAGACAGTCAGAAATATGGAAACCAGCAGAATAACATGCCATTTTAATGGTATCCGTGGCGACAATAAATTTGTTGTAATTGTCATACAC